TATTCAAAATACATACACAATAAATGATTAAGACCTGATAGTCTGATGTGTGTGTTACATACATGATATGGAGTTATGCATAGAAATGATTAGTTGCTCACAAGTCCTTTTAGTGTCATTTAGGTGCATGGAAAGGCAGTTTCTGTGCCATTCTGTGGATGAGGACATGTTCTGTGAAGACCAGAGGTTAAAAGGTCTGTAAGGAATCTCAGTCTGTTCTTTGTCGTCGAGGTGGGGGAAGTCAATCCAAAGAGCTCGTGATCGTCACTGGTTTACATGTGATGGTCATGCTGTGCATTTCTTTGAGCATTAATCTTGATTACTTGCCCCAAAATTGACAATCTCCTTGGAATTGTCAATAAGTGTTCTTTTGTTTAAATGCTGTGAGCTACTCAAAGCTGCTAGTTGGTTCAGGCTTGTGGCGCAAGGATCTGATTTACGAACATCCTGTGTCTTGGGCCTCTGTGGAATTCGGCTCCTCGTGTTTCAACTATGTTCTTGATCAACTCTTAAATTGTCTGATTCGGTCTGATACCCTACACCCTGGAGCACAAAAGCAGTCTTAAGTCGCTGGGGTATATTTGTAGCAATAGCCGTTTATGCCAAAAATCATTAGGATATTAAGTAAAGATCATGTTCCATGAAGATATTTTGTAAATTTCCTACCGTAAATATATCAAAACTTAATTTTTGATCAGTAATATGCATTGCTAAGAACTTAATTTGAACAAGTTTAAAGATGATTTTCTCAATATTTCGATTTTTTTGCACCCTCAGATTCCAGATTTTCAAATAGTTGTATCTCAGCCAAATATTGTCCTATCCTAACAAACCATACATCAATGGAAAGCTTATTTATTCAGCTTTCAATTTCACAAAATTGACACTTAAGACTGGTTTTGTGCTCCAGGGTCACATATGAGATGTTGCGTAGTCGGGAGAGAGTTTGCTGTATCACGCAGTCTTTAAGATCCTTGTATGGCGGTCTGTTTTCCAGGCTGTTCCCCACTCCTGGAGAGAACGGGACTCCGTCGCTGCCTCCTCGCTCATCCCGGCGCATGCACAACTCTAAATTCTCCTTCAGGTAAATATAGCCTGTCTCTGTTTACCTCACATGCACTGAACTCACTTGACAAGTCCTCTGAAAACCAAAGACTCCACCTCGTTCTGTTTCTTCCTTGTATTTAGGGGTTATGTTTGTAGTTCCTTGTATTAAAGCGTTTCAGGTGATCGTTTTGCTGGAAATAATGTTTTACAGAGCGCTGCTGAGATGGTGTGTTTGTGTCGGCCAGCTTTATGTTAGCCTTACACTGGTTCCTTTGCCAAAAACCCAATAGGACTTTTGCAGAAAATAAGCTCTGGGACCAACACAAGTTTAGGATGCTCACTTTGTTTTGTTCTTTAAACCAAAAACCAATTCAAAAACCCATTGACTTCAGGACGATGTAACCGGAAGAGCTAAAATGCAACTTGTTTCTGGGTTTTGGCATACAAAAATAGTCAAACCTAAATTCATTCAGACACCTTCGACATTTCTCACATTATCACAGTTTATTCGCTATAGTTTAGAAAATGGTAATAAAATATGACAAGAACTCACAGAGTGTCAGAACAAATTCATCTTGATGATGTCAGATAACTTTGATAGAAAGGTATGTAATGAATTCAGCTGTTAAATTTAAGCACACGATTAGATAAAACCAATTTAGCTCAAACAGTTACCAAGCAATGCTTGATTTTGTTCAGTCTGTGGTGTAAAAAGCTCGCATTAGCAATTAAAGAAAAACACTTAAAACATGCTCAGCTCAAAGTAAATAATTTTAGTCCCAAATTTTACTGGTAGCCCACTGTTTTGGGTATAATATGTCACAGTTTACTTTATTTTGCTATCCTCACTTACAGAAATTAACTATAGTTAAAATGATTTGGTGTCTGAATAATGTTTGGTTAAAGCAATAATCCCCGTGAAGCTGTGGTTTACAGTGAATTTATAACAGCTAAGGGGCGTTGTTAGGTACGATACGAAGCGGAGCCTTAGCTGTTATAAATTCACTGTAAACCACGGCTTCACGGGGCTTATTGCTTTTATAAAATGGTTATTCCATATACGTAGTAAGGTTTCACAAAATAAAACGGAGCAAATAAAGTGTAATGATATTAATATAAACAGTATTCTTCCACCAAACAATGTAGCTCCTCAGAAACAGTTGTGGTTCCAACAAAGTGGTTGCCGAGCAACACACAAATGTAAACAAAGGTGTAGTGTTGTCACAGAATCAAGCACCGGAACTCTCCGCTTTATAATTGACTGTACATCAGCAGAGTGTTATGTTATAAAGACGATGCTCAGACAGATCTGGGTCTGAACTCCTACTGACGCACAAACCCTTCTCAGTCCCTATCACAGATACTCCACGCCAAACGCTTTAAGCTACATCAGCCCCATGCCGTGCGCTGGCGTGTCTCTCAGTCGTAAAGTGCTGTCCACCTCCACTCCTAACGTGCACATGGTGAGCACGCTCCACGAGACTGCTGCGTTTCAGGTGACCGCCGCGGGCTCGCTCTCTCCTAACATCAGCTTCTCTCAAAACTTCCATATGCTAAAATAGTGCTTCCCTCTGTCTCCATAGGAAGCCTTGGGGCGAGACGAGTCAGGTGAGGGGGTTTTCAGACTTCTTCCTCAGATTTCCTAGCAAAGCTAAGGCAGAAGTGTGTTCTTCTCACACATCCCATCCCACTCCTCCGCAGGGAGCCCGACGGACTGCTCCAGAACCCCGGCTCCGGCGCACAGGGAGAAAGCACCTTCGAACAACACTCAGGAGAAACGCCTCGTAAGTGCCACGTGAAAAACCAGAAGCCAAATCAAAACACAGGAATAGATCATCATCAGAGTAGTCTCTTGCTGTTCTAGATCAGCAGGATTTCACTATACCGAGATCCTAACATTACACGACCCGTCTGTCTGCTGTTTCTGGTCTGTAGCGTCCCAGAGAGAAGAGAGATTCCAGCTATTACTGGGAGATCGAGGCCACGGAGGTGCTTCTGCTCTCCAGGATCGGCTCTGGGTCTTTTGGCACGGTTTACAAAGGGAAGTGGCACGGTAAGAGTTCTCTCTCATCGTGATATCGTGATGAATAGCATGCAGCTGATGTGTGCTCTCACTAGCCATTGGGTTTCCATCCAGAGATGCGAATCTAACTTGAAACATTTGCGAATAAGCACCGTTTCCATCCAACGAGTCAAAGAGAACAAAATCATCACTTCCTGGTAAACTGCCACTGAATATTACTAAGAAAAGTAGGAGAAGCCACTGAATATAATCATTTTTATATATAATAAATGACCTTAACAATATTTCAGATGCTGTGGAATGAGATGAGAATGAGGTTTTGTCGTCCCATTGTGTAAAGTCACATGACTTTTTTGATGCGCATGGAGGAATTTATTCAGCAAATAGGTTTCCATCTCCCATTATTCACATCGACTCTTTTTCGCAGTTAAAAACCACCTCAAGCGAGCGTCAGAGCTTTTTTGCGAATTAAGGGATTTTTATTTGAAATGTGACGTTTCCGTCAATCTTTTCTCATGCCATGCTTCAAAATGCGCATTAAAACAAATAAAACAACAGGGCTAAAGCACAGCTTCTGTGGGGTGCTGGAGTGCATATAAGGGCTATTTTACAATGCCATCAAACACATCCAGTGAAAATGAGTGTATTTAACTCTATGAAGCTGTTTTGTAATGAATAATCTAATCTTTGTTACCAAGTTCTGTGTTGGCCAAAATGATTAAAACACTAGTGTTTTCAGCTGCTAAAAATGGTTTTAATGGTTACAATTAATGGCCAAATGAATGTTTGCAAATATAAACTGATATTTCCTACTGACACACTTCAGCAAAAGATAGAAATATCTGACTTAAAACCATTATTAGCTGCTGAATACTAGCTGTACCACTGTAGGAATTATTAATAAATAAACATTCCTAGATGGTTATGTCATATTTAAAATATCTGTGGGGTGTATTTCAAGCAAAATTAAATAAAATCACTATATATTGATATATGCATGGCATGCAGGGGGAAAAATAAAATTATATCACGACCACAAGTTAAGAATTAGTTCCCATGACTTAATTAGTTCCCTTGTTTTAGTCAAGTCATGGCCACATTATACTACTTTATTTTAATTTAGTTAATTTGTGGCCACAGTTGTCCTAAAACGAGGAAGCTAATTAATAAATGGTAGGAATGAATTCTTAACTCATGGCCTTGAGGACTGTTATTATTTTGCATGTTATGTGCGGGTCTCTGTAGTAATAATAATCTGAAATATTGTTATGTTGTTAATAGGGATCCACTTAGAATGTGAATCTGAGTAGACAATCCTCCTGATTTAGTGGGTTTAAGTGCTTTTATTGAAAGTTTCTCTGCATTTTCAGGCGATGTTGCTGTGAAGATTTTAAAGGTCACCAATCCCACACCAGAGCAGCTACAGGCCTTTCGCAATGAAGTGGCTGTTCTCAGGTAAACCACAAAGAGAAGATTTGCGAGAAACACCATTGTTCTCCAGTGCTAGAGTGTGTTAAACACTGGCTAACTCTGTCGCTGTTACAGGAAGACCAGGCACGTCAATATCGTTCTGTTTATGGGATACATGACCAGGGCAAACTTGGCCATTGTGACGCAGTGGTGTGAAGGAAGCAGCCTCTACAAACATCTGCATGTGCAGGAGACCAGCTTCCAGATGCTCCAGCTGATGGACATCGCCAGACAGACGGCGCAGGGCATGGAGTGAGTGTTTACAGACAAACATACTAAACCAGCTGAGCCAGGTGTCTGCCCCCGATCTAAACCTGCCTTCTGCAGCCCTAAACGCTGTTATTTGCCAAATGCAGATTATAACATGAAACCAGCCAGATGCTCTCGTATGCTCGGGACAGGAAAATGAACAGGTGCATCGACTTCCTTACCTCAGCTGTGACTGTTAAAGGCTGTGCATCGACTGAATTAGCAGTATTTGGTGTAAATAATGAATTGATAGAAGATCGTGAACTTAGACGACGACACAGACGAGCCGTCTGTCATCATCCTCGAAACCCACAAACAAAACAGCACAGAGTAAATGAAAACGCAGCCCAGCTAAAACCACGTATTGCAGTGACAATATACACTACCATTCAGACGTTTGGGGTCAAAAAGATGTTTTTTTTTTTTAAGGAAATAAATTAATAATATCCAGCAAAGGACTAATTAAATTTATCAAGACTTTTTCCAAATAAATATTTTATTTTTACTATCTGTCTGTCCGAGCGACCGACCGACTGACTAGTGCTGGGCGGTATACCGGTTCATACCGAATACCGGTGTTTATTTTTGTTATGATATGAATTTTTAAAACACCGCAATACCGGTGTATGTCGCTTAATTAAACAACGTTCGGAACGCGACACTGTTTGAAAGAAGTCCCTTTTCACTGTTGCACTGTGGTGAGGGAACAGCTGTATGTGTTACTAAGTGTGAAAGTTCCGAAACTGAAGCTGTAGAACTAATAGAACGTGATGACACAGAAGAACTCATCCACAATATCCACATTGACCGTCACAAATATCCAGCGCCCCCTGCCATCAGCTCCCGCGTCTCACACACACGAGCGCGACTTTAGCACTAGATTTAGCAACTTTCAGACCCTTTTAGCGGCTTTTTCCATAGAATATTCATACTGACAAACCTAGCGACTTTTCTGGATAAAGCTTAGCTATGGTTCAGTTGGAAGATTTCGCCAGTGCTGTCCCGCGAACGCGAGGTCTGACTTTCCCGGAGAAGTGTCACCTCTCTCGGCGTCTGTTCTGTGCAGTATTTCCTCTCTCAATCGGTAGAAAATATGGTTAACACCCGGTCATGCATGAAAAAAAAATACCGTCATGTACCGTGAAACCGGTATAATTTTGAAAAATACCGTGATATAAATTTTTGGTCATAGCGCCCAGCACTACGACCGACCCTGGAGCACAAAACCAGTCATGTGTCAATTTTGTGAAATTGAGATTTATGCGTCATCTGAAAGCTGAATTAATAATCTTTCCATTGATGTATGGTTTGTTAGGATAGGACAACATTTGGCTGAGATACAACTATTTGAAAATCTGGAATCTGAGGGTGCAAAAAAATCTAAATATTGAGAAAATCATCTTTAAAGTTGTTCAAATGAAGTTCTTAGCAATGCATATTACTAATCGAAAATTAAGTTTTGATATATTTACGGTAGGACATTTACAAAATATCTTCATGGAACATGATCTTTACTTAATATCCTAATGATTTTTGGCATAAAAGAAAAATCTATAATTTTGACCCATACAATATATTGTTGGCTATTGCTACAAATATACCCCAGCGACTTAAGACTGCTTTTGTGCTGCAGGGTCACATATAAATATATATAGAGTATATAATCTTTTGAACTGAAGGATCACGCGAAGACTGGAGTAAAATTCAACTTTGATCAGCAATAAATTACAGTTTATCATAGGGTCACATAGAAAAGATGTATTTTTAATCAAATAAATGCAGCCTCTGTGAGCAGAGGAGACTTCTTTCCAAACATGAAACAATCTTACGGACCCCAAACAGTTGACAGTGGTGTATTGATTATTGGTGCCATCGATACTCTCATTCTAATAACCCTTCATGTCTTTTGTCTTCTAGTTACCTACATGCAAAGAACATCATCCATCGAGACATGAAGTCAAACAGTATCTTTGACGTGTTTCTGCACTGCACTGGTGAAGAGGTGAAGCATCGCTGCCACAGGTGCCTCTGTAGAGACGGGTTATTTGTGAAGCTTGTTGTTTTTGTGCTCGTGTGAATACAGTGCTGAAGCTGTCATGAATTCCCTTAACAGAAGCTCAGATATCGTCCTGCATGAAGGGTTGACGGTGAAGATCGGTGATTTTGGTCTGGCCACAGTGAAAGCGCGGTGGAGCGGCTCTCATCGAGTGGAGCAGCCATCCGGCTCTGTTCTGTGGATGGTGTGTTAGAGCAAGAGTTCAGACAGAAACGAACATCAGCTGGAAATGTGCTCGCTCTCAGTCCATCCGAGATCAGGATGAGTTTGTTTCTTCATCAGGTTTGGAGAAATGTAGCACTGCATCAGTGTCTCAGCAATGGATGCTCTGCAGTGAATGGGTGGATTATAGACTCGTATCTGTGTTAAAAGCATCTTAATGCTGGATTTGTTTCAGCTTTTGTCTTCTCCAGATGTTAACTGATGGACTGGAGTGCTGTGGATTACTTGTGGATTATTGTGATGTTTTTATCAGCTGTTTGGACTCTCATTCTGACGGCACCCATTCCCTTCAGAGCATCCATGGCTGAGACACTGATGCAGTGCTACATTTCTCCAAACCTGATGAAGAAACAAACTCATCCTGATCTGGGATGACCTGAGTACATTTTAAGAAATAGTGTTTTGTGTGACACTTTATGAAACTCTCGCTGATGTTTTGTGTTTAGGCTCCTGAGGTCATCCGGATGCAGGACAGTAATCCGCACAGTTTTCAGTCGGATGTGTACTCGTACGGGATCGTCCTGTACGAGCTGATGACGGGAGAACTGCCTTACTCTGGGATTGGAAATAGAGATCAGGTACAGTCTATAGATATCACATGAGCAGCACTTACATTTAACACTTTCCCTGCCAGCCACCGCCAGCGTTTCTGCTGAGTTTCACTCAAATTTCACGGCCCCCAGAATAGTTTGTTGTATGAATATCTGAACATGCAATACATCAAATAAAGATCAGACCCTCTACTTTCAAACAAAAAAAATCTGTTTTATTCTAGCTTCAAGCATTGTCTTTTTTTTTTTAATCAACGCTTGAATGTAGGTAGGTTTCATTAATAAATTAACATTTTGAGCAAACAGCTGAGAAAATCACATTTGTATCAAATACTACATCTGGATCATATTCAGTAATATTATCAAAGCAAAGCTGCAGTAGATGGCTTCCATCAGCGCTCCCAAAGCTTGCACACTTTCTGGATCCACATTTCACTCGGGAACATTAGGCAGTTTTCATTTATATGCGGTTAGTGTTGATGATCGCATTGTTTTTCATACGCATCGTTTCTGCGTCTTCATCTCCTGTGTTTTTGATCGAGTGATTCTAGACTCATTCAGGAGATGCGTAACAGCGCCCCCTAGCGTACAACAGCGAGAACACGGAACATTCTGTGTTTGGCCGGGAAAGAGTTAATCTGGATTATGTAATCAGATTCCAAAAGTGAAGTAGTTGTAATGAGATTATATTACATTTCAATCAGATTACACTTACTTTTTTATTGATTACCTGATTACATATTATTCACACAATAGCAATAATTATTATTAATTCAATTAAAATCACAAACCTCAGTTTGGAAACCCTTGATGTAATGTTTAATGCACTTCATGTTATTAATAACAACAAATGGAATATATTTCCTTTATTTTTGTATTATATCAATATGCTACGAGATTATTTAAATCAATGTGATAAATGAGTTAGGTTAAAAGTAATCAAAAAGTAGTTGTAATCCATTATACACTTTTGGAAATAAATTCAGTTGCTAACTACAATTTTATTCATGTAATTTGGAATCAGTAACGGATTACAGTTTGTAAGTAATCTACTCAGATCTGCACATGATCATGGACATTACACCTGTTTACCATGCATAACATATTACGTATTTGACTTAACGATATTTTAAGATTTATCTTCAACAATATAATTAGAAATAGTTGTTAAGATTGTCAGGAAGAATGTTAAGATTTTGTGACATGATGATCAAGTTCATGTGAAGCATTCTTCCTCAAATAGTGCAGTAGATCCTAATGGAATGGACTTGATAATTTAGTTTTTTATCTTTCAGTTTTGAGGCTCTCTCTTCAGACTCTTTAGTTAAGGCTAGGCATGAGAGAGTGTTTAGCTCCGTGTTCACAGCAGCGGGTCTCTGAAATGTGTTTGGCAGTGATCAGGAGGTCCGTCTGAAGGCACACTCGCTGCTTTGTTGTTCAGGAGAGGTGTGCGGTTGCGTTCCCGAGAGCCGTATCATGTACAGCCTCCCACAACACTGACTTCTGCACAGACAAGCGTTCACAGAGTGTTCCTGTTGTAGTTCTGAGTAAAGTCAGCTGTTCCCTGTCGCGCTGCATGCAGATCATCTTCATGGTGGGGAGAGGCTATCTGACCCCTGACCTCAGTAAACTCTACAAGAGCTGTCCCAAAGCCATGAAGAGACTGGTGGCCGACTGCATGCAGAAGTCCAGAGACGACCGGCCGCTGTTTCCACAGGTCCGTGATCGCCGTCTTTACTCTAGCACAATCACTTTACACTGGATGCATATGCTATGCGGTTGCTAGGGTACTCGCGGTGGTTGCTAGGGTGTTGCTATGCTTTACCATCTTGTCTATAAATGTATAATGAAGTGTTTGTATTCTTAAAAAATATTTCAAATGCAGCAAATTTGTAGACAGTTTTGTAGTATGTGCCCAAAACTGATAGATAAAATGCAACCGCAATCATTTGGATCACAAAACGGCTCGAATATAATGGCCTGTGGTAGTAATAACTATGAATATTTTGTTAATAATAATAATGCACTTTGTGTTTATTGTTGTAGTCTAATGCTCAATTAGTTGTCAAAAAGCAGAAATAAATTAAGAATTGTTCTGCATGTCAGTTATCTGAACGAAATGAATTAATTCGTATCAGTATGATATGGCAATATCAGTTGATCTGATATCTTAAATGTAAATAATATTTTTTTTGCACATTTCAGTATAGAGAATTAAATGTCTTAACTGTAGAGTGTCACAATGCAAAAACACTTAATGTCCTAAAATAGGCTTCATTGGGGTTTTTTTATTGTGAGTTTGACCCAATATTGGGTCTTCACTGTAAAAAATGTTTTGTTTTTTTAGAAGTTGCAAGATTATTAGAGTATGATTTACGATGAAATACTATTTCAGTCTTACTGCTTTGAAACGTGACGTTTAATTTAATTCCATTTCTTTGTCATTTGCTGCGGTTTTCTACAAATGTGAGCCTGCAGCACAAAAGCAGTGTTAAGTCGCTGGGGTATATTTGTAGCAATAGCCAACAATACATTGTATGGGTCAAAATTATAGATTTTTCTTTTATGCCAAAAATCATTAGGATATTAAGTAAAGATCATGTTCCATGAAGATATTTTGTAAATTTCCTACCGTAAATATATCAAAACTTAATTTTTGATTAGTAATATGCATTGCTAAGAACTTAATTTGAACAACTTTAAAGATGATTTTCTCAATATTTAGATTTTTTGAAAATTTCCCCGTAAGACTGGTTTTGTGCTGCTTGGTCACATGTGTGTGTCAGTCCTGAACCATGTTTCAGTGCACCTCTAATAACTTGTCCTCCTGTAAAGTGTAGGTTTATGGTGAGCTTTTAAAGGAGCGGTAGCTGTGTTAACGACTGTTAGCTCGGATGCACAGCAGATGTGTGTGTTTGTGTGCAGTGCTGTATACTGAGTCTGTGTCTCTCACAGGTCCTGTCCTCGATCGAGCTGCTCCAGCACTCGCTGCCTAAGATCAACCGCAGCGCGTCCGAGCCGTCGCTCCACAGAGCCTCGCACACCGAGGACATCAGCGTCTGCACACTGCCGCTCTCCGCTCTCTTCAAGTGAAGCGTTGTGCTTCTCTGTGTGTGATCCAAGCTTTCTCATCCTCCTCACAATCATGTGCCTGCAAGCAGAGGCTCCGGTGAATATTCCCTAAGTGCCACTGACAGCCACGGAGTCGCTCGAAACGCCTCCTAGCTCTTCACCGGCGTGTGGCTAGCTGTCTCTTTGACTGTGAGTGTGTTACAGGAATCCAGGAAAGAAGAGCGGGTATTCACTTTAATATGAGACTTATTAGGGATTCTTATTTTTTCCGGCTTTTAGTGCTTGTCATGGAAGAGTAACTTGTAAACTTGACAGATTGTATATTCATTGTATTTTAATAAAATTAAGTTAAATACACCACACAAGCTCGGTTTTTAAGATAATTTGTGCTTGACGTTTTAACTTTAAAGCAGCAGCAATATTATACAAGATGACCGCGTTTAATGATTAGTGAGTGCATGTTCACTAAATTGTCATTTTTGGGTGAACTATCTCTCTCAGATCATCTGAGATTAGGTTGAGTTTGTAGATAATTTGTGCTTGACGTTTTAACTTCAAAGCAGCAGCAATATTATACAAGATGACCGCGTTTAATGATTAGAGTGAGTGCATGTTCACTAAATTGTCATTTTTGGGTGAACTATCTCTCTCAGATCATCTGAGATTAGGTTGAGTTTGTTTCTTCATCAGGTTTGTAGAAATGTAGGACTGCATCAGTGTCTCAGCAATGGATGCTCTGCAGTGAATGGGTGCCGTCAGAATGAGAGTCCAAACAGCTGATAAAAACATCACAATAATCCACACCACTCCAGTCCATCAGTTAACATCTGGAGAAGACAAAAGCTGAAACTAATCCAGCATTAAGATGTTTTTAACTACAAACCATTGCTGCAGTCTAAAATACAAATCCATAAACCATTGCTTTCTATTCTTTTAAGAAAAATCTGATGTTGGTCTGAATGAATGCTGATATTTAGTGCTCATTCTAGTGTGATATTGCTTGAATTAAATATTGAGTATCTGATATAGCTTAAATATGACGACCTGACAGAGGCATTTTTTACACAACAGATCAGTACTGTAGGGCCAAAACTGCAATTAACATCACATACAGTATAGGCTTGTCCACACTTTACTCTATTAAAGATTTTAAAAAGCAATTGCAAATGGCTCTTATCCTGAATATGGTATAAATAATGTTTACTTTTCATGTTAGAGAAACTTTAATTAAAATGAACATTGCATAAACAGTAGTTTTTAATATGTGGAATGTGTGTACTGCTCCCATTAAAAGTGTGATTCTGCTGTCAGTGGTCTGGACTGAAATAATTCAATCAGGATTTGGACATAGCTTGAAACTCAATTAGGTGTACTAAAAATATGAATTACTAACACCTGAATGCTTAAGATACTTTTTAAAATGTAATGTTCTTTGAAATAGTGGCACCCAGGTAAATCATCTCATTCAGTCTTCTCAGTTTTTACACAAATTCTAGTGTTGATTATATATTAGTGAACTCAGAACTGAACTCTTTAAGAAGTTACTGTAAGACTGAACGTTTTTCTATTAAAAAAACTCAAACATAAATGGAAAATAAAATCAGTAAAATTTAGTTTATTACAAATGTAAATAACTAAATAGCCAATTCAATATTTAATACTTCAGTTTGAATTACTAAGAATAATTGTGTTGATTACATATTAGATGAATTGTGCAGCCCTAAGATGCTTTTAGTTTGTTTTCTGTTTATCACTGACTCTTGTCTGAAGTAAATGACATAAAGAGTCAGTGGTTTACATTTGATCGACATTAAAAATATCACCAAACTAGTGCTTCGAAATATCCGTGCAGCCATAATTCATGACTAATTACTTTTCTCAAATTTACACAAATTGTAGATATGTGACCCTGGAGCACAAAACCAGTCATAAGGGTCAATTTTTTAAAATTGAGATTTATACATCATCTGAAAGCTGAATAAATAATCTTTCCATTGATGTATGGTTTGTTAGGATAGGACAATATTTGGCTGAGATACAACTATTTGAAAATCTGGAATCTGAGGGAGCAAAAAAATCTAAATATTGAGAAAATCATCTTTAAAGTTGTTCAAATGAAGTTCTTAGCAATGCATATTACTAATCAAACATTAAGTTTTGATATATTTACGGTAGGAAATTTACAAAATATCTTCATGGAACATGATCTTTACTTAATATCCTAATGATTTTTGGCATAAAAGAGAAATCTATAATTTTGACCCATACAATTTATTGTTGTCTATTGCTACAAATATACCCCAGCGACTTACTGCTTTTGTGCTCCAGGGTGACATTTGACTGCATTCTTAAATTCAGTGCTTCAAACTAAATTATTTTAAGACAATTTTTTTTTCTTTCTGGAAAATAATTTATATCTAAATACAGAAATAGTTTAACCTGAAATGAATGAAGATTTGTGGAGGTGAAGCGCCTCCTTTCACAGATAACCTCAGTTTTAAAGAGTTGTAGCTCTGTTGTGCAGCACATTAGTGCCTTTCAGAGCTTATTATTAGTCGTGTGTTATTAGCAGGGTTTGAGAGAACTGAATAAAGGCTCAATGTATTTGAGGGATTCCTGTGCTCCTGAGACTCTAATCAAGCGATCGTTTCAAAATCACACAGGCCACTCGGTCACTAATCAGTTTATTACACTCGCTCAACAATACAACTCAGAAAACACAATATAATAACCCATACTCAGATTCAAGAGTAAACCAGATGAGTGAATTCAATACTATGATATCAGTTGAGTCCAAAATGAAGTAACTAGTCTCCAAATGCTCCTAAAATACCGATAAGTCCATTCACTGGCGACAAAATCGATGCTTACTGTTTTAACCACAGCCATATTGCATGATGCCCAAACTTTATAAAGTTATGAATATGTGTTATCTGAACTAAGTGCAACGATTACTATTTATTTCATTTTTTCCCACTTGACAGTATTTCTGTAATACACTTCATACACTACTGGAGAGCATTTGAAAATGTGCCAGAGAGATTTCAGTTCCCATCATACATTCGTCTTTGGGCACGACGTTAAAGAATCTGGCAAAATCCCAATGCAGGTCAGGAGGACCCAGCACCCCACAGAGACCTTACAGGTGCTTTAATAGAGTCTGGGACGCACAAACACATGTATTGGCCAGATGTTGGAGGTGGATCAGCGTGCCGCAGACGAGCTGCTCGTCTCTCCGGCTCCAGACAGCTGCATGAAGAGCTCTCCCAGCTCACTGACCTCATCCTCGTCCGCCGGCGTCCCACGGTGCTCGCGCTCCTCGATGAAGTCCCACAGACGCACCGAGCTCAGGAACTGAGCAACACACACCAGAGACACACACAGAGCGGCGTGAGGGAACACAGTCTCCAGCTTCTCTGAGCAGAACAAGCATTCCTACAGAGCTAGGCATGTAACCACATCCATATCTCACCGTACGATAATATCACGGTATGTAGTCCACGATGCGATATTTATTGTGATATTAAAGGAAGAATTGGAAAAAAATGTAAATTGTGTTCATTTTAAAGTTGAAGTATTCTATCTAATGCACTGGGAGAGTTCAAAATGAAGAGCTCCAATCCATGTTCTTAACTAAGAAAACGAGTCAGAAAGAAGTCAGTGAATTGACTTGTAGCTGAACTTTAAAGTAGACTCAACCCTCTTTTTATTTGTGATATACTGTCTCAGTCTAAATTACATTCACACTGCTGTTTTAGGAAGCCAAACAAATAATAATAATGATAATAATAAAAGTAAAGGCAGTACCCAGCAAACACAGAACGTTCCCCTAACGTTAGTTTTTGGTTCCCGTTTGGTCCCGATTTTTTGGGGAACCAAATACTAATGTTAGGGGAATGTTATTTTTAGGTTATTTTTTTTTTTGTAACCATAAAATAATGTTCCTAGAACGTTGCATGGTGGTTATTATTAAATAACCCAAAAAATAGAGAACGTTCCCTAATAGTTAGTTTTAGGGTTATTTTTTTGCAACCATAACATAGCGTTCCCAGAACATTGCAGGGTGGTTATTATATATTGAGTGTGTGTGTGTTACCCGCATGTTCCCCTCTGCGCTCATCTGTTTGCGGGGTTTGTCGGGTTCTGCTTGTGTCCCGTCGGCATACGCATGCATGTAGAAGCACTTTCCTCCAAACGGACATGTTCCTCTTCCCTGATCGAAGTATTTACAGGGCTTCTTACTGCCAATACACAAACACATTCAAGCAGATGATGACAAATCCTACGAATACAGAACACACACACAGTTGAACCACAATGTCAAAGAAATCTGTCTGCATTCTACAAATATTATATACAGCCAAATAAATAAATAAATCAATAAACGGACGGATGGATGAAAACAGCTGCCAGCTACTGGTCTGAGTGCAGATGAAAGGCTGCTAACAGACGGCATTATGGGAAGACTCCAAACATTTAACCTTTAGCCTCATATTCTATTCATTTCTGATTGAACAGTGCAGCTGCTCTTTAAAGTGAAGCGGAGCAGACCGTCCCGTGATCTGGGAGGCTTTAGTGAAGACTAAAGGAGAGATGAGGAGAGGAAACCAGAATGGCCAAAAATCACTGCATTATCATCTGATTCAGTCATCATATCACCAGGTTCTTATTATGGTTAACTCAAACAATAAAAAAGTTGCATAAAATAAAGTAAACTTTACATTAAAAAAACATACACATATACATATATATATATTAGAGCCCGACCGATATATCGTTTTGCCGATATTATCGGCCGATATGAGCCTGTCGCCGATATATTTTCTTTTGCATTGTACATAATTAAAACAATTGTAAACATTAATCACATTAAATAAATAAATTATAATACTGTGTGTATATATATATATATATATATATATATTCTCATTCCCTTTCAGTCGGTCACTCTCGATGTCACGTTGGTAGGACCAATGAATTGGGATCTCGCTTAGAGAGACCAATCTACTTCGAATGTAACTAAATGAGCCAATGCACATTGGCATGCGATGATCGCATCAAGCTGCCACTGATCGCAGCGCAAGTATAATTAGGCAGCAGGTGCAACATATACTCAGCTTTTTGCTTCGGAGCCGAGCGATCACATCGTTTTGCTCCTGACTACTCAACTGAGAGAAGAAGACTGAACGAGTTCAGCGCGCTCTTTGGAGCTCTTGGTGTTGGTGGTACGGCGCTACAGCGGTGGTGGTTTCCCGTGTCGAGTGGGATGCACACATAAGGCTGCACTGCCCCCTGTTTGTGTTGCAGGCGGCCATCTCCCCTGTGCGCTTCAGCACGCTAAAAGAGCTTTTTCCCTAAAAGAGCATTCATGGGTGTGTCTTTTTAAGATGACGTTGCATCTGGCAAACTCGACGTTGCGTCTTTGTAAAGACGACGCATCACCCGTGTGTTTCTGGATGTGGTCATTACCTGGCGCTGGGTGATGGTCATGACTGCTGCCTCACTGTGTTAAACATGCTGGGGTGGCATTCGTGGATGAGTCATATTCTCATTGAGGGAAGATGATCATCTCGGAGTTGCGGACCAGGCTCCGTTACCTCAAAAGGGGCGGAGCTCCGTTGCCTCTTCCTCGATCTGGTTCTCGTCCTGGCAGCAGTCAGGCAGGGACTACTTCAGGCAGTAGCACGGGCGGTCTGAGTTTTACAGTGATGGCAAACCCTCCAGGGAACGAACCCTCGAGGGACCATCGCTCCTCTTGCACTCCGCAACCAGTTGAGCTGCCAAAGGAACGTGCTGGGCACTCTTCAAGGAGCATACCAGCAGTATCCTTCGGCGCTCCTCCCAACGATCGGATGTCGATCGCTGCATCGGACGGTGAGCTTGAGTTTTCTGGAGAGGAAGATTCGGCTGCGCTGCCGTCCTCCGGGACGGTAGCAATGCCTGAATCGGATCAAGAAATGATGGCTATACTTTCCCGGGCCGCTGAAAGGGTAGGGCTCAAGTGGAGACCTCCACCGTGTCGCGAGCCCTCAAGGTTGGACGACTGGTTTCTCGGGGTGGCCCGCTGGTTCTCAGCGCCCCGCCCCAGTGCCTTTCTTCCCGGACGTGCATAAGGAGCTTACCAGGTCGTGGACGGCAACTTTCACTGCCGGAAACCGGCCTGCTAGCTCCTCCTCCCTCACCACTCCCAACGGTAGTGCAGCTAGGAGGTATAAGTTCTGAAAGAGCTCCGAACCGCATCTGAAGGACACGATAGAGCCGGTCCCTCCAGCCGATATGAAGACGGGGTTTTACAGCCCTTACTTCATTGTACCCAAGAAAGGCGGTGGGTTACGACCGATCTTAGACCTGGATGTCTTGAACCGTGCTCTTCACTGGTTACCGTTCAAGATGTTGACACAGAAACGACCTCCTCCTTTGGAGTCGGAAGCATCTGAGATCGCTACGTGCCATTCATATTCCGGGTCTGCACAACCGTATGGCCGACGAGCTGTCACAAGCTGCGCTCCCCGGAGAATGGGAGACTCCATCCCCAGACGGTCCAGCTGATATGGAGACGTTTCGGAGCCGCTCAGGTAGACCTGTTTGCCTCCCCAGAGACCTCTCACTGCCAGTTGTTTTATTCCCTGACTGAGGGAATACTTGGCACGGACGCACTGGCACACAGCTGGCCGCGGGGCCTGTGAAGGAAGCATTTCTCACAATAAGCCTTCTCGCACAGATGCTGTGCAAGACCAGGGAGGACGAGGAGCAGGTCCTGCTTGTGGCGCCTTACTGGCCCAATCGGACCATGTTCCCAGAACTAATGCTCCTCGTGACAGCCCCTCCCTGGCAGATTCCTCTGAGGAAGGATCTACTGACTCAGAGATGGGGGACCCTGTGGCACCCGCGCCCAGACCTCTGGAAACTTCATGTCTGGTCCCTGGACGGGACGCAGAGGTTCTAGGTAACATACCCCAGGAGGTAGTAGACACCAACACTTCGGCGCAAGCACCTGAAGTGGAATCTGTTCGTCGAGTGGTGTTCTTCTCACCGAGAAGACCCCCGGAGATGCCCGATCAGAGTCGTGCTTTCCTTTCTGCAGCAGGGGTTGGAGCGAAGGCTGTCTCCCTCCACCCTTAAAGTCTGTGATGCTGCGATTGCTGTTAACCAAGACCCAGTGGAAGGGAAGTCAGTAGGGAAGCATGACCTGGTCATCAGGTTCCTTAGGGGGGCGAGAAGGCTAAATCCTCCACAGCCCCCCTCTATACCCTATTGGGACCTGACTCTAGTGCTCAGAGCACTACAGCGGGGCCCATTTGAGCCTTTGCACTCAGTCGAGCTGAAGTTTCTGTTAATGAAAACTCTGCTCCTGCTTGCATTGGCCTCCATCAAGAGGGTAGGGGAACTGCACGCATTTTCTGTCGACGAACCGTGCCTAGAGTTTAGGCCAGATAACTCCCAGGTAATCCTGAGGCCACGGCCCGGCTATGTGCCCAAGGTTCCTACTATTCCCTTCAGGGATCAGGTGGTGAGCCTGCAAGCACTGCCCCCGGAGGCAGCAGACCCAGCCCTAGCTTTGCTCTGTCCCATCCGAGCCTTGAGATGGTACGTGGACCGGACACAAAGCTTCAGGACCTCAGATCAGCTCTTTGTCTGTTATGTGTATGTGTATGTGTATGTATGTTATGGTCAGGGAATGCCGTCTCCAAGCAGAGGATGGTCCACTGGATAGTGGATGCCATCACACTGACCTATCAGGCACAGGGTGTGCCCTGCTCGCTCAGGTTGCGAGCTCACTCTACTAGAAGTGTTGCATCCTCCTGGGCGTTGGCTCAATTCTC